GGCATTTCCATCCTCCCTCTTGAAGTTTTGTGCATTATCTTTTGATGCTGTCTGTCGAAGTTGAGGTCGCAGCAGCAGCTGAAGTTGTGGGTGGCATTGATGCTAGCAGTTTCATGGCATTTCCATCCTCCCTCTTGAAGTTTTGTGCATCATCTTTTGATGCTGTCTGTTGAAGTTGAGGTCGCAGCAGCAGCTGAAGTTGTGGTTGGCATTGATGCTAGCAGTTTCTGTTTGTTGCTAGTGGTACTTGTATTTGTTATACTGATTTTCATGTTTAGTTCTTTCAATCAATTTTTGTATCTGGGTTGTTGATTTTTTTAGCATTTATTATTTTATTTTGTTTAAATTGTAACTTGAGTCATCAAATTGTGCCTTATCATTTTCTTCATAATAATATTATGTGTGGCCCTCATTTTTTCCCAAAAAAACAAGAAAAGGGACAATAAGTGCTGCAACAAAAATTCAAAGACAACAAGTTCATGGCAAATGACAAGGTGGATTCTCAGCTAGTCTTAAATAAACGAAAGCGGCTCATGTAATAAATTTAAGATTGTCTTCTCCTAACACAAGTATGTGGACCGGATGTTGCCTGTTAATAAGGTTATACTAGGATTTTGTAGCATAAATAGAAGAGGGCTAAACACATGAGAACCAAGGACAATCCTTTAAATTTCAAATTGACAGGTAACTCGCGCATTTGGAAGAACATTATCTAAGAAAATCACCGTTGTAGCATAAATAGAAGAGGGCTAAACACATGAGAGCCAAGGACAATCCTTTAAATTTCAAATTGACAGGAAACTCGTGCATTTGGAAGAACATTATCTAAGAAAATCACCATGCATTTAAAAAAGTTCAAGTTTATCAAAATAATAATAATAATAACACGAATATTATAACTCAATTAGAGCTACAATATCTTGTTTTTCTATTCTTTATAATACAATGATGATGAATCCAATCAAAATCTCGTGTTTCCGTCATTGCTAATTAACCTGGACTTGCAAACTAAAAGTTAAATTTTCAAGCAAGCACAATTTAGCATAATGAATCACTATTCTTGGTTGAAAATACAGCAAGGCATTTCCACGTATAACAAAGGCATATTATATTGGTCAGGTCATTTACCAACTGAATCTTCGAAAAATTTTGTAAAGGGATGCAAAGCACTGCAAGCAAAAGACCATCTGGCCGCCTATCCTTCCGCAAGAAATCCTTACTCCATCAGTGTTAGTAATTCCTTCTGAAGCTGAAGTCTCGAACAGATTACTGAAATTAAAAATTTTTAGTTTGCTAAGATGACATCGGATTTGGGTGGCAGATACTGCTGCCAATTCTTTCCAAAGCCATATGGCTCATTCTGAATCTTGTGTTCTGAACAACTAAGGCTCGGTCCATCATAACGGAGAACTTTGGCCTCCGAGCTCACAGTTCTGGAATTAGCATGCTTCCATGCATCAGGAAGCTTAAAGTACCTGTTGTAGAATGCCACGGCAATCACCATGTTTACAGGATTGTTCCTGGCATAAAAACCAGTGAAAAATATGAAAATTTTAGGAAAGAATGAGCTATGTTCATTCAACATGATAATTAATAATTTTTTATTGATGAGAATCTCAGAAATAGATGGAGAATGCCATACCTTTCATGTTTCAAATTAAGAACTTTATCCCACCATAAAATGGACTCGATAAAATTCTTATCCAGCTTCGTCGCATCAACCAGAAACAAATTCAGGTCCGGGACACAAGAATCTTTGTCATATGGTTTATCTGATATCCAAGTCATAGCAGCTGTTCTCTGGATGGCATTTAAGATGTCTATATTAACATATTCCCCCAATCTTTTCGTGCAGTCCTCAGCGGCGGCAATGGTATAAGGTCCCAAATCAAAACCAAAGAGCTCCTCGATGCTACCCTGCAGTTGGCATAACTAAACAAATCATTCACATAGTTTAGTATTTACCAACTTTTCAAAACATTCAAACTGCACTACCACTAAGAAACGTACAAGCTCGCATTAGTCAGGTTTATAGAGGTCTAGCCTATAATTCCATTTCTAGAAATGCAGCACTTAATTATAAGGCAGGTGATGTCTGATTGGATTTTTTGCACGTTCGTTATACAAAGCTCCAGGTCAAATAAACTTTACTATGAAACGATTTTCCGACATATTAGTCTTAAATCATATCATAAGTGGTCTTTCATGTGATCATTAATAGATATTTAAGTGTCAATAAAGTTCTAGCTTAGCTCAGCACATGTTTGATAGAGGTCTGAATCCCTTCTAGTGTGAAATATCTGGGTGCCGTTACAGTGCTATTCCTACAATCATATCTAATGCTAGCGGTTCCCATGGGGTATTGTTATGACTTCCCAGAGCTATTGCTGAAGACTTGTTGCTAACTGCAGGTGCCGTTCTGCTTTACGGGCGTAATCACAGGAATTTCACATGGTTGTCGATTTAAAGGAATTATTTAATGCAACAACTTAAATTTTTAATTTTTGGATAATGTTGGATAATAAAGTTCAAGGTTATCTAGAATTATATTACAAGGGATGAGGAGTCATTAAAGAAATGTTTTAGTCATACAGATTGTACATCTTTAATCAAATGAAGTTTGTACCTCAATCTTGTGTTACCAGTTGGATATCCAACTATTCAAGTGTTGTGTAAGTGTGATTACAAAATTCTGGGGAAAGCTATATTTTTGGATGAACGTAAGGTCTGAATTTTTTTATTTTGATGAACATTTCCTTGATTTAATTTAGTCTACATCATTTATTATTAACTTGGAAGAACTCGACTTTGTTCAAGTTTGATGCATTTGGGATTATTTTGTGATAATTAAATTAATAAATTACAAATGCTTGCTAATTTTATATGCTACAAAATTTTTGCAGATTTCCTTGTAGATTTATTCATTTATTGCAGTATCATTTGAATTATAATTCTTCAATATTAATTTTTGCACTTAGAGAAAGTTATTGGCTTATTTAGTGATTTGTGACCAGCAATCTATGCATCCCAAATTTACGTGTATGACCTATATATTTTGAAACATTTCTAGTTGCATTACCTAAGGTTTCTGCATCAATGATTATCTTGAAAAGAATTGATCTAACTAGTAAAGCTACGTAAGACTTCCAGCGTGAACAAGAAATTTTGACCCATAAGCTTATAAGCATGTGTCCATAAACTTTTCTGTCAGCCCATAAGCTTATAAGCATGTGTCCATGAACTTTTCTGTCAATATGAAGGTAAGCAATGTTAGTCAATATGAGCTGTTGATGTAGGGTCCCAGGGATTTATATAATCTTGATGATGAAGGCAACCACTTAATTGGTGTCCCTTTCGAGCGGTAGAGGAAAAGATATGCTGGTACAGGGAAAAGTGATTGACGCAGGTGTCGAGGGTGATGGACGCGGGCAACATGCATGACGGACAAGGGAGTCGCTTCTGATACCTGGACCAAACCAGTCTAGGTCTTGTGAGGGCCAGGCCGACTCTTTCTTGGGGGCTTTCCGCTTCCCTTTAAAAGAGGGGCCCACTCCTGGTTACCCTAGGGTTATTTATGTGCTTTGTGGTGTGTAGGTTTGCAGTTTTTGTGTGTTTATTCAGGACAGCCACCCGCATCTCTGATTTCCCTTCTACGGTTGTATCCAAGGAGACCAAGTGGTGCTCCAGCTGTATCTCGCTCTCAAGGAGGTGATTATCATTCCCCTACCCTTTCCCATCCTTCCACATCACTCCCCATTGCCCTCACTTGCTGCAGCCACCTAGAACAGAAATTCCCATGCTGTTTTATGCAGTTCCAGAAGCCTTTCCTCCCCACTTTCTCGCTGCCACTGCTAAGAACAGCACCGCCTACTGCTTTCTGTAGTCCAGCCCACTTCCTTCCTCGCAGACGCCCCGGACAGCAAGTATACGCTATCTTCCTGTTGTTTTCCTAGCAGTCCAGCCCACCTACCTACTTGCTGCTGCCCAGAACAGCAACCGCTATTTCCCTACTGTACCCACCAACTGCTCCACTTCTCTAATCTTTCTTTGTCCGTGGAAATCCATGTTTTGGTGCCGCCGTCTTCAAATTGCAGTTCCTACTAATCTTTGGCTATCTTAAAGAAATAATTGCAAGGACTTTCTTTGTCCGTGGGGATGCCAGAATATGGATGAGTACACACAAAACTTCCCAATGCAAAGTTTTAAAGGCCACTTTCCAATGTTTGCTGAAATGGGGGATCGTGATTCCCACATGCACCTTTTTCCAAGATGTTTGCAAATGGTTGATGGACATGCCAACTCGCATGATCTCCATTGGAAGAGTTTATTGTATTGCTGTCTATCAATGCAGGAAAGCTGGGAATGAGAAAATACTTAAGCAGCCTCATGGGACACCGACGATCTTGGCTTCTACCTCTTTCCACCCTCACTCGCACTTATGCCTTTCCCATTCCCCATTCGGGAGCAATGGGGCACTAATTGGCCTCATAAACTCTCTTTCTCCCACCAGTGGTGTCCTCCCCCTCCCGGTTGGATCAAGGCAAGACCAAGGCAAATGTCGATGGAACCCTTCTTCCCTCTGGGCTTACTAGCCTGGGTGTGATCATCCGGGATGTGTAGGGTTGGCTTATCTTAGCGGTCGTTCGTAGATTGTTCTTTTTATGCGTGCATTGGTGGAACCATGGATGACGGAAACTGCGGACTGGTAGAGGAGGGGGACTTCGGCAATGTTTTGGATACTCTCAGGCGTTCGGTGAAGAGGATTTTTGGGGGGCAGCATGGCAACCAAAGCCCCGACATTGCCTTTCTTACTAGCTTCTGTAAGGTGTTTTTCTTACACTACTACATCAAACAATGAGACAGCTCATTTTTGTGTTCAGCTTCCTTCTAGAATTACTTTTTTGTTAAAGAATTAATGATAATCGTCCCTTACATTTTTTTGATATAAGGCATAGGAATTTTGGTGGGCTTACTAATTAGTAGGCTCTTTTTCTTTTGGTTTTTGGTGGCTATTATGGCCTTATTTTGTAACCCGTTGTTTTTAAGTTAATGCAACATGCACCGCTTCTACGGGTGACCAAAAAAAAAAAAAAAATTTCCTACTCTGGGCCACCCCAATGAACCCCCTTCCACCCTTTCCAAACCTAAACACTAACCATGTCATCAAGGAGACAAGTATCGGGTGTCATTCAAAAACATACCAAGGAAGAGGTGCAGCGAGAACTCCACTGACTTCAAAACGGCTTACTGAAATTGAGGAAAAGACTAATAAAGAGGTCATTATTGGTCATGAAAGTGAGATTCAATGAGGGAGGAAAATATAAATCCCTTCCATAGGGATGATTTCAATGAAGAGGAAGGCATGTCATGATGCTTTAGGATTCAATATCATAGGAAGATGAGAGATGAAGTTACGATTGGAGGACGGAGAGGCCTGGGAGTGAAGGTAGACCTATTGAGTTCTGAGGGAAGAATGAATCTGGATAGAGAATTTTTTAATACAAAGTGTCACAAGAGTCAAGGTTTGCTGCCATAAAGCTGAAGAAAAGTGCCTCTTTTTGGAGGGAAAAGCAGAAAAAGGGAGAGAAAAAAAAAGGGTCTAAAAAAGATCGCTATGTGGGAGATGATGGAGATGCGGAGGAACTATCTACCCCCACACTAATGTCGGCATATGTTCTTAAGGCTACATCACTTACATCATAAGGGAGTTGTCAGTGGAAGAGTTCACGACAGAATTTGAGCAGCTTAAGTTGAAATGTGAGTTGACCGAGCCGAAGGAGCACATTATAGTGAGATAGTTGGGATGCATGAAGCCCTTCATTGACAATGTTGCCCAGCTATGCCTTACTGGTTGTTGAGTGATGTTCAGACCATGGCACAAAATGTGGAGAGACAACAGAAGCATAACAGGCACCTAGCTTCATACTGACAGCCACCCACAGCTGGAGACATCAGTAGGAGCAAGCCATTTTTTCCTTTCTTTTTGAAAAGAAGCAAAAGCACACATGGGGGAGTTGAGAAGACTGGTCAGAATAGTGACAGCTGAACAGGATCAGAATAAGCCTGAGAAGAGTAGCACGCCCAACACCTTTATAGCTAGGAAATGCTTCAGGTGCCATGGATGTTAGCACATCAACTCGTGTTGCCCAACAAACAGAGTTGTTTCATTCACCAAGCAGAGTGCAGTAGAGGAGTTGGGCGAGGTAGTTGATGAATAGGATGAGGAGTACCATTTTCCAATTGATTAGAGTGAAATGCTTATGGTTCAATGTTTCCTTTAGACTGAGGCTACGAGTGAGTAACAGTGGCTTCACCACAACATCTTTCACACATGTTGCACTGTAAAGAAGAAAGGTGGGCAACCTTATCATCGATAGAGGTAGTAATAAGAATGTCTACACAGATGATGAAAATGTTGTCTCACTACTTATAGACACTCTCAGTTATATTCCCTGACTTGGTTGAAAAAAGAGAGCAAGGTCAGCAATAACAAGATATGTCTCGTAGAGTTTTCTATTGAGAACTAACTACAAGATCAAGTGTGGTGTTACGTTGTACCCATAGATGTCTGTCACACTCTGTTGAGGAGACCGTGGAAGATTGATGGAAAGGCTTGGTATTATGGGTGCAAGAACACTTACTCATTCACAAAAGATGAAAGGCGCATAGTTCTCCATTCTTTTGCAAAGTTCGAGGTTGTAGGTGCCTCTGCCAGCAAAGAGACGTTATTGGGATCAATTTTGGCGATGATAGAGAGTAGCAAGACAAAAGAACCGATATCAGAGATATGGAAGCCACCATAGAGAGAGTTTCAAAATATACTATCCGACAGTTTACAGCCATGGCTACTGTTGTAATAGGAGGTTTAGCCTGCCTTTAATTCAGATAGAGATGAGCCAACGGTGGACTACTTTTGG